GCTGGAGAGAGTCCAGCGAAGGGCAACCAAGATGATTGAGGGATTGGAGCATCTCCCTTATGAGGAAAGGCTGAGAGCGCTGGGACTCTTTAGCCTGGAGAAGAGAATCTGAGGGGAGACCTCATTATTGCTTATAAATATCTAAAGGGTGGGTTGAAGGAGGATGGAGCCAGACTCCTCTCGGTGGTTCCCAGTGACAGGACAAGGGGCAATGGGCACAAGTTGGAACATAGGAAGTTCCGTTCCAACACACGGAAACACTTCTTTACAGTTGGGGTGATGGAGCAGTGGCACAGGCTGCCCAGGGAGGTGGGGGAGTCCCCTTCTCTGGAGGTTTTCAAGACCCGCCTGGATGTAGTCCTGAGTGATGTGCTCTGGGCAATCCTGCTTTAGCAGGGGAGTGGGACTGGATGATCTCTAGAGGTCCCTTCCAACTCTGGAAATTCTGTGATTCTGTGAGTCGTAAGGATCTGTTTGCGTTCTGTGTAGCTCTTGTAACTGATCAGAGCTATGCCCTCGCGAGCGGTCTGGCCGCCGGAGCGCTCACGGGTGCTGCGTGAACAGTCTTCAGGCAAATGCCACTCTTCCTTTTGACATTTTAACGGTCTGAGGAATGCAGGGGGTGTCAGTGGGGAATAATCCAACTGGCACGGCACTGCATCGGGACATGATTCAAAGGCTGCCTGTGTAAGTAATCAGGCACTTGTGTGTTCTGAAATGTAGTGAATTATAACATCAGTAAATATTTCTGTAATATTTCTTGTAAATAGTGTTCTGTTAAGCCTTATTTAAATAGACTTAATGAATTGGAGGCTCTCATTCATCTGACAGAAATCAAAGCCATTGTAGGAATGTGCCTCCTATTGTCAATAAAAGCATATTGAGACCTCATTTTGGAGTGGTGATACTGAATTTAGGAATTGCAGACAGTTCTCATGAATGTTGGCATGTAGGAAAGTTTACCCCATAGTTTTAAGGCAAGATTTGTGTTTTCTGGTTCAGATTTTTGGCAATCTGCCTGTTATTACTATATTTTTGCTTAGTGTTCACTGCAGCCTTGGATTGCACTAACTGGTGCTGTAAGCAGGCTGGCACCTGACGAGCTGTCAGGAATTTTCCCTGTTCTTTAGAAGCGGCTAAAATAGAGTAGGTATTTGGTAGAATGAGTAAAGAGAAATTTGGACTTTTCTTGCTGCGGCTAAGGGCCAAAGAGGCTGTAACGGCCATAGGGTGTAGGCACTGCAGCAGTGATGCTCTGGGTACTTGGGCCACAGTATTTCAGTGCAGGCTAGTACCAGACATTAGAGCATGCAACAGGTTTGCAAGAGGAAGCTGCTTATAAGAAAATAAACTTGTAATGGGCTCTGTGCAAAAAAAAAAAATTATGCAGAAGCAGCTCTGTATAGTTTGATTATTTTTTTTTTGTGTGTGCTGTGTTTATCTATTGAGACTCAGTTACAAAACGGTTAGCAAGTGAATTTGTCTGAACTTGTTCTAAAAATCTCTTGATGCTTTTTTCTTTTTTTCTTTTTTTTTTTTTTTTTCATTTTTCCCCTCCCTCTTCCCATAAATAGTTACTTGGCTGTTTGGATTAAGGAATAGAGGATGACCAGATACGATGCACATACCTGGTCACATCACTGTCCTTAGATGAGCTGTAACAGTGCTAGTTTGATGTGTCATTTAACACCTTCTTTGCTCACTCTTCTTTGCTTCTAGATAAAGTATTGCCAACCCTATACCTAAATAAACACATTTACAATCTCAATTTTTTCAGTAAAGCCTAGAAAGCATATGCAGTTTGCCTGTTTTTGGTGTATGTATTGATCTTTAGCTTAAACTGCATCAGCGAAGTTTAGAAAAGTACTGTTTAAATGACAGCTTTTACAGCAATTTTAATAATTAATTCTAGGACATAGGGCTTTTAGGAATGTCAAGTATTGCAAGACGTGGGACTAAACTGCAAGAACTGGCAGTGCTGCCTACAGCACATGCCACTGATTTGGATCCTTATTGCAGCTTGTAGTAGTTAGTGCTTGAAGGCATTGCCAGACCTCACGGGACTGCCTCGCAGCATTGGTCTTAGACCTCGGTTGTTGCTGAGGTTTGGTTAAGAGTGGGATGGTAATAGGTTGCCTTAGCAGCCGAGGGTGGGGGCTTAAAAAAAAAAAAAAAAAGACAAATATGAATTTACCTGGCACAACTTAAGGCTGCAGTAGCCTGTGCTACTGTTCAGTGTCTACTTGACAGGCTGGGCGGCTGGAGCTGTTACAGTGATTTGAGTTTGATCATCTGTCATCAAAAGATCATTTTGGGGATGTTTGTTTGAATTTTGAAATTAGGCTGGGATGTTTGGATTGTCAAAGTGGCTACCTACCAGCCTTGAGTGGTCTTTGGTATGTTTGTCATTGGGTGGTGTGGTGGAAAGTGCAGATACAGTAACAGGAGTCTTTCCTGTGTCAGTAGAAGTGGTTACAATGTAAAAGGGTGTGAAGTGGCTATTAGTCTTTAACAAGATGTCTTTCCTAAATTAATATAATAATAAAGAATGAAGGCTGTCATAAGATAGCAGAGAATCTACTCTTCTGACAGGTTTCTTCTTTCCCTGTGGATTCTTGGGTGTTTGCTAACAGGTGATCCTGTGCCAAGGCTGTAGTAAGTTTTAAGAGGGCGAGTCATGTGAAATTGTCTGACTTTGATATCAAAGTATACATTAAAAAAAAAAAAAATCCCCAAAAAACCCCAAAACCACCAAAAACCCAAACCCAACAAGTCAGTTTGCATTTAGTTGGAATCACGTCACAATCAGCCTTATCAGTCGCATAGATGCGATTGCATGGAAATAAAATGCTATGCATGGCGTTCTTTTTATGGATACAGCATATATTGACAAAGTGTACCTTTTGCTTGGGTATGTTTTAGTTCTACCTAGAAGTAGGAGTGTTGCAATGGGGGCACAGCTGTGTTGGTCACATCCCGTCTTGCATTCCTTTGATGCATGTTTTGGAGAAAGTCTTGAAACTCTGACCAGTGAATTTTCAGTGTTCGTTTCCTTTCCCTTTCCCTGAAATAGCTTTTCTCCATCAGTAGCAGCTCCTTTTGTTAAAATAAATTATTTTTTCATCAGCAGAGTTCTAACTCCTGTGGAACAAGAACAAAAATGGACAGATACAACTCTTATCTAACAGTTCTTTCACACACCTGGGGTGAATGCCTCAGCAGACTTAAGCAGAATGGGACATTGGTGCCAGAGTGGAATGGGAACATCATCTTGTAGAGGCAGACCAGAAACACGCATCAGAAAACTAAAAAATTGTTGCTCTGTGTTGTTTTCATTCTTCCCTGGCCTGTAAGGGCTTTTGAGTCCTTGATGAATGGGTAGATGTTATATGACTGAAGTTTGCAGTTGAATTTGTATTCTGGAACTTCTCTGCTTTAGACCACTGTTGAAATGAAAATCTAACTTTTATCTGTAGAGGCTTACTAAGCAGAACCGATAGCTTTGTAGAGAAATGTCTTGCACTGATAATCCATTTTCCCCTCTGCGTTTCTTCTGAAAGCTTTATAATCTTAGTATTGAAAACGATAGATTTCCTGGCTGAGCTAAGAATGCTTTCCCAAATCCTGGATTAACCAGCAACCCAGCAGTTGGTGTGCTGCTCTGGCAGTAGGCGGTTCAGTTTGGTGTGTGGATTTTTGTTGGGGTTTTTTTTTTTGGTTGGTGGTTGGGTTTTTGTGGGTGGGTTTGTTTGTTTTGGGCTGGATTTTTTTTTTTTTTTTTTTTTTTTTGTCTGGAGTTTGCACCTTGGTCCTGAACAGGAGTGAGTGCCATTGAGATGGCACTTTCTTTCCCTTCTGATCAATCTTGGAGTCTCGGTAAGCAAACTGAGTGGAGGATGGACTTAAGTCTCCAGCCTTGTGGCTTCTGCTCAGCTACTGACTCTTAGGCGTTGGCAGGGAGGTTTTGCTACAGAAAATAGGGGAGAGGGTTTTCTTTCTTTTTTCTGTGACCTGTGCTCTGACTCTTCTGTTCTTATTTACTTCCCCATTAAAGACAGCTTTAAAATGACTTTTCTCTTTCCTTGGCTCGGCGTTACACGCTTCTCTTATGAAGCATATATCAAAAATAGTATCTTTGTAATTGAAGGAATTTCTAAATTTAGGAAGTCTTACACTGGAACTCATACTGTTAAAGATAACAGCACCACACCTTGTTGATGGTGTATTCTGATAATTGCAGCTAAAGAATGCATGCAGCGTGAACGGTCTTGAGAAGCATGGTGCAGAAGTTAGAGATTACCTGGGACTCTAGAAGACAGAAGGGTCATGTCCCCTGCCCTATTGTGCTTTAGGAAGTAAAGCAACACAAAGGCAATGCAGTATGTGTGTTAATAGAGTACCCTGAATGCCAACTGTAAGTTCAGTTAGTAGCGGAGATGGTGACCTGAAGAGAAACTATGCTCTGTACCATCTTCTGACACTGTTTTAAACCATCTGGGCCGGGGGGGTGGGGGGAAGACTTTAATTCAAAAAAAAACCCCAACCTTTTAGTGGATCTATTTCTTAGATCCAGTAGTTTGTTTTCAAGATCAGTTACAAGGGAAGATACAATAATCAAACTAATCTCTGTGCTACGAATGTATGACGCTAGAGTATTGCTGATTGAATGAAATGCTAGTGAGCACGTTATGTCAGGTATTTCATCAAGTGTCCTCAGCCCCGCTTCAGAACGGGCTTTTGATCTGCCATCTCTTCCAACTAGTTTGGATAGTGGAAATGGTCTAGGAGGTGAGGTAAGTGTAAATATTTTGTAGTCTTCTGTTTTGTTTTTTTTTTTTTTAAAAAAAAGGAATAAAAATTTGCAAGATTCTTGGTATGCAGTTGATCTTCATATGTTAGGTCTGTATCAGAATAGATAGAGGTAAACTGTTAATTAAGGTGGCTTGATCCAGTGTGGCTCACTCACTAGCTAAAATGAATTGCATATTTTTTTTCTTCAGGAGTTGTAGAAGGTGATTTAGCTGCTGTTGAAGCTTACAAGTCATCAGGAGGAGATATTGCCCGCCAGCTTACTGCAGATGAAGTACGCCTGCTAAATCGCCCTTCTGCTTTTGACGTTGGGTACACGCTTGTACATCTGGCGATACGCTTTCAGAGACAAGATATGCTAGCAATTTTGCTTACGGAGGTGAGTTACTTTGGGCCTTGCGTAGATTGAATAGGAACCTTATGTAACGGCGCCCTTGTTTGCAGCCAGTGACATGTAACTTTATTTGCTGGAGGATAGAGCCTAATATTGTTAGAATACATGAACTGCTGCTTTGTGCCTTTATTGCTGTTTCTTCTTAAGAAGCGAGTTTACTTTAGGACTGTATGTGTGTGGTGGTCTTGAGGACATTCAGTTTTCTCATTAATGAGCGGTCTTGGCACACGTTCTGACCTTACTCTGGAAGTGAGCTATTGTGAGGCTTCCTGTGCTTTGGGTGGGGGAGAGGAAATGCCCCAAAAGCAAAACACAGAGATCAATGACAGCGTAGTTTTTTCTGAGTTTTGTTAATGAATAACTCTACCTGGTCTCTCTTCCCTAGTTTTCTTGAGAGCTTCTCTTTTAGGCAAAGGCAAATCTCTTGCTTTGCAAAATTCATGCACTTTTTCTCCACTTTTTGCCTGTCTTATAGACTGGTTCATTCCTCTCTGTGGTCTCCTTGCTCTTGCATGTCCCATTTCCTTGTATATTTTCGTATGGTCCGTTTCACTTATGGTGATCTTTGCCCTCCTCCATCTTTGCCCTCTTATCAGACCCATAAGTAACTCTGTTACCTCCTTTTGTCTGTTTTCTTAGTCTCAGACTTGTGGTTCCTCACTTGATGAGAGCTAAATTTTTATTCTGCCTCCTTCCCTCCGATGCTTAATGCAATTCTGAAAGCATGTGTTCCTGGGAAAAGTAGCATGCCTGAGAAGCACGTAAGGATGATAGGGTTGAGTAATTAAAAAGAGTAGATGAAGCAAGGCAAATGTAGTTAAAGCCTTGAGAAGAGTGTATACTTAGATATGGCTAATGTCAGTAGTATTGTGCTGCTTACATAGCGATCTGCGTGGATGGAGTTGTACGTTTGAAAATAAGTTAATGTGCTAAAATACTCTTACAGATTTTTCTGTTTGGTTTTGTTTCAGTTTCTAGGGATACTTACAGTGATACTTCCCTTTGCTAGGATATTAACTAGTGAAAATGTGTGTCTTAAAGGTGTTGGGTGTTTTTATACATATATATATATGTTCAGTGTCATCCCTGTTTCACTTCCCCTATATCATTGAATGAGTTCCTGCTGCCACTGATGATTAGAATCTGGAGACATTTAAGTATCTTAGCTTAATAGTTTTTGGGAACATTCTTTGTAGGAAACTGTCTTGTGCTGTGGTAATGAAGTTCTTTGTTAAATGTAGACTGGGCTCATGCATAAGATTTGAGGTATGTTTCCTATTGTTATCTAGCTCTTCCCTGTTTTTATTGCTTTCCTTCTGCTGAAAGTGGTCACCTGTTAATTCACTTCTTTGATTTAAAGATGTTCTTAACTGGCTTTATGTTATCAGCTACGTGACAAATGAGACATTAATTCATTGAGAGTTACTAAACATTTAATCTTTCAGGGTACCACTGTTCATACTTCTGTTGCATTATTTGCTAACAAAATACTGTCTGCTAGTGGTTATCACTTCTAAGTCTTCATATTTAACTAGAAATAATACTGAGTGCAGT